TGTTGATCTTTTCAAAGAACCATCTTTTGGTCTTGTTAACTCTTTCAGTTGTTTTTCTGTTCTCTATTTCATTTAATTCTTCTCTAATTCTTATTATTTCGTTTCTTCTGACGCCTGAGGGCTTCTTTTGCTGCTCTCTTTCTACTTGTTCAAGTTGTAGGGTTAATGTTTTGATTTTGGCCCTTCTTTTTTGGATATGTGCATTTATTGCTATAAACTGACCTCTGAGCACTGCTTTTGCTGTTTCTCAAAGATTCTGGTAGTATATGTTTTCATTCTCATTTGACTCTATGAATTTCTTTATTCCATCCTTAATTTCTTCTATAACGCGGTATTTTTTGAGCAAGGTGTTGTTCAGCTTCCATGTGTTTGATGTTTTTTTCCTTGCTTTTTCTGTTATTGGTTTCTACTTTTATGGCTTTATGGTCAGAAAAGATGCTTTGTAATATTTCGATGCTTTGGATTGTTTTACTGCTGCCTTTATGGCCTAATACATGGTCTATTCTGGAGAATGTTCCGTGTGCATTGGAAAAGAAAGTATACTTGGCTGCTGTTGGATGGAGTGTTCGGTATATGTCCATGAGATCAGGTTGGTTGATTGTAGCATTTAGATCTTGCATGTCTTTATTGAGCTTCTTTCTGGATGTTCTATCCTTCACCAGAAGTGGTGTGTTGAAGTCTCCTTCTGTTATTGTGGGGCTATCTATCTCTCTTTTCAATGCTGTTAGAGTTTGTTTTATATATTTTGGAGCCATGTCATGGAGTTTGTAAATATTTATTATAGTTATGTCCTCCTAGTATATTGATCCTTTAATCTGTATAGTGTCCTTCCTTATCTTTTGTGGTGGATTTTACTTTAAAGTCTGTTTTGTCAGAGGTTAATATTGCCACTCCTGCTGTTTTTTGAGTGTTGTTTGCTTGATATATTTTTTTTCCATCCTTTGAGTTTTAGTTTGTTTGTGTCTTTAAGTCTGAGATGTGTCTCTTACAGGCAGCATATAGCCGTATGGTGTTTTTTTTTTTTAATCCATTCTGCCACTCTCTGTCTCTTTATTGGTGCATTTAGTCCATTTACATTCAATATAATTATTGATGGGTATGAGTTCACTGCTGTCATTTTGATTTTTTTTGTGTGTGGTGTTGACAGTTTCTTTGTTCCACTTAATTTTCTGTGCTGAGTTGTTTTCTTTATGTATTTTCTTTTTATCTTTTTCATTGTTGTTGATTTTGTATTTGCTGAGTCTTTACGTTTTTCTTGTTTTTTATTTTGATGTGTAGGATTGTTAGTTTTCTTTTTGGTTACCTTAATATTTACCCCTATTTTTTCAGTTTATACCAGTCTTTTATTTCTTTATGTTGCCCTGACTTCCTCTCCATATGAAACATCTATGAGTACATTTTTTAGTCCCTTTTTTGTTCTAATTTTATCATCTTTTACATATTGACATCTTTGTTTCCCTATTTTCAGTGTTTTAGCTTTGATTGATTTTTGTGACTTCCCTCTCTGGGTTTATACCTCGTTGCTCTGTACCGTGTTCTAGTCTTGGTTTGTTATCTGATGTTACAGATTTTCTAATTGGAGGACTCCCTTTAATATTTCTTGTAATTTTGGTTTGGTTTTTACAAATTCCCTGAAGTTCTGTTTATCTGGAAATGTCCTAATTTCTCCATCATATTTGAGAGACAGTTTTGCTGGCTATATAATTCTTGGTTGGCAATTTTTTTCCTTCAAGGCTTTATGTATGTCATCCCATTGCCTTCTTGCCTGCATGGTTTCTTCT